CTAGCAACAATGGTGGTACAAATAGCTAACCCTAGAAGGGTTGTACTCGCTATAGAGCACCCCACTGCAGGCTAGAGCATAATATTCTTACATTGAGGACAGTTGGGTTGCAGAAGCTGATATGGGCAATGCACGCCGTGCTCTCCAGGACTATCTTGTCAAGCAGGGTGTATCTCACGCCACCCAGCTTTGAGGGGGGGACGTGTGAGAGTACGACGGCTTATGCTTGTTATTCATGCTTGCTTTTATTCCCTTACGCTATTTCTAGCTTAGGTTTATTTTATGCATGCATGAATTGCTTGATTTCCTAGGCTAGGTGCTTTCCTATATTTTATTATAGTTATAGCACCGCGCTAGGTCACGTACACCGAATTCTAGGCTATTCGGTTGCCACCGAATTGCCTTCTACCGAATTTGGGAAGGGTCTGTTCGGGACGCTTCGCGACCCCCAGACTCTTCGCGTAGCACCTGGTTACTGCCCCTTGTGTCGAGCCTATATATAGCCTCGTGTTGTACCCAGGTGATCATTCAATTCAATTCAAACTCTCTTTTCTGAGCTCGATCCTAGATCCTCACAAGGTGCTAGTGCGTCTCCTGCTCTAGGTACTGGTGAGGCTGCTGCTCTAGGTGCTAGTACGTCTCCTGCTCTCGGTGCTGGTGAGGCTGCGGCTCCAGGTGCTGGTGAGTCTGCTCTCTCTGGTACTGCGCCTGCTGCGGTCTTGCACACCTTCACCCTTGACTCAGGAGCTTCCCGCTCCTTCTTTCGCGACTGCACCACACTCACGCCGCTTAGTCGGCCAGTTGCAGTCTCCCTGGCGGACCCCTCTGGGGGTCCTGTCCTTGCCCACTACTCCACGGTTCTGCCGTGTCCGGCCGCCCCGTCTGGCTCGCTGTCAGGTCTTTACCTGGTACTGCGCCTGCTGCGGTCTTGCACACCTTCACCCTTGACTCAGGAGCTTCCCGCTCCTTCTTTCGCGACTGCACCACACTCACGCCGCTTAGTCGGCCAGTTGCAGTCTCCCTGGCGGACCCCTCTGGGGGTCCTGTCCTTGCCCACTACTCCACGGTTCTGCCGTGTCCGGCCGCCCCGTCTGGCTCGCTGTCAGGTCTTTACCTCCCCTCGTTCTCTACGAACTTGGTGAGTGGAGCTGACCTCCAGGATGGGGGGGTTCACCAGTTCACTCCTGCGGGTCAGCGAGTGACTCACTGTACGTGTGCTCGGACGGGCCGACACCTGGCCACATTTACCCGTGCGCCTGGCTCGAGTCTGTACACACTCACCACTGAGTCCCGTCAGGTAGCTGCGTCTGCGTCTGTGTCTGGTCAGCTGGCGGCCCCTTGCGAGTGTCGCGCTTTGTCGCACGACACTCTCCTGTGGCACCACCGCCTTGGTCACCCCTCCCTGCCTCGCCTTCGTAGCATGCACTCTCGCTCCCTGGTTTCAGATCTTCCCAGGTCTCTGCCTGCCCTACCTCCCTCGCCTGCGCCACCCTGCATTCCTTGCGTCGAGGGGTGGCAGCGCGCCGCTCCTCACTCCTCCTCGTTCCCTCCCACAGAGGCTCCTCTGCAGACTCTCCACCTGGACGTGTGGGGCCCAGCCCGCGTCCGTGGACAGGGCCACGAGCGGTACTTCCTGCTGGTCGTCGACGACTACACGCGTTACACCACGGTCTTCCCCTTGCGCAGCAAGGGGGACGTCCCTGATGTTTTGATCCCCTGGATCCGCGCTGTTCGTCTCCAGCTCCGCGAGCGGTTCCAGCGGGACTTTTCTGTCCTGCGTCTGCACTCTGACAGAGGCGGTGAGTTCACCTCAGACCTCTTGGCAGCCTACTGTGCGGAGCACGGCATCACCCAGTCGTTCACGCTTCCGGCCTCTCCGCAGCAGAATGGGGTTGCTGAGCGCCGCATTGGCTTAGTCATGGAGGTCGCTCATACCTCCATGATCCATGCGGCTGCCCCCCATTTTCTGTGGCCGTTTGCGGTCCGGTACGCCGCGCATCAGCTCAACCTCTGGCCCCGTGTCTCCTTGCCGGAGACCTCGCCCACACTGCTGTGGACGGGGAAGGTGGGCGATGCGTCGCGTTTCCGGGTCTGGGGTGCTCGTGCCTTTGTCCGCGATACCACTGCGGACAAGCTCTCCGCCCGCGCTGTCCCCTGTGTCTTCCTTGGCTTTGTCCCTGACGCGCCTGGTTGGCAGTTTTACCACCCCACCTCGCGCCGTGTCTTTGCGTCTCAGGACGTCACGTTCGACGAGTCGGTTCCCTTTTACCGTCTCTTCCCCTACCGCACTGCCCCGCTCCCCCCCCCCGCCGCTCTTCCTCGCTCCAGGTGCTCCCCAGGTAGACCCCCTCCCCGCTCCCGGTCCTGCTCCTTCAAGTGTGTCTCAGGTAGACCCTCCTCCCTTGACTGCGCCGGTTGAGGTCACTGGTGACTCAGGTCCTGCTCGGGGTGCTGCTTCTGGGGGTGCTGAGCCTGAGGGTGCTGAGCCTGGGGGTACTGAGCCTGGGGGTGCGGAGCTTGAGGGTGTGGGGCCTGGAGGTGCTGAGCTTGGCAGTACTGAGTCTGGGGGTGCTGCACCTGGGGTTGCTGAGGCGTCTGGTGAGCTGTCTCCCTGGAGCGGCCGTCTCCGTAGTCGCTCCGCTGGTGCCTCGCCGCTGCCCTCTCGTCGTCCACTCCCCCTCTCCTCCCTGCAGCTGGTTGAGTGGTACCTTGGCCGTCAGGGCCGCGCTGCTGGAGGTTCTGGAGCTGATGAGGGTACTGGCACTGTTGGTTCTGGAGCTGCTGAGGGTGCTGGCGCCGGAGGTTCTGGAGCTGCTCGAGGGCCTGGTCCTAGTAGCGCTGGAGCTAGAGGTTCTGGAGCTGCTGAGGGTGCTGGCGCTGGAGGTTCTGGAGCTGCTGGAGGTACTGGTGCTGAGGGTGCTGGCGCAGGAGGTTCTGGAGCAGTTTGGAGTGCTGGTGCTGAGGGTTCTGAGTCTGCTGTTGCGCGGTCTCCTTGGAGTAGCCGCCTTCGTCCACGTGTGCCTCTCACCTTGCAGCAGCTGCACGACTGGTACGGTCGCCGTCAGGGTCGCGCTGCTGGAGCCCGGGGCTCTGTTGATGGAGGTACTTCTGCTGACGTCCCTGGAGCTAGGAGTGGTGCTGGTACTTTGTCTACTGGAGGTGCTGGAGTCGCTGGTCCCGGAGGTGCTCGTACTGGAGGTACTGGAGCTGCTGGGGCTGGGGGTGCTGCGTCTGGAGGTGCTGCTGCTGGAGACACCGAGGCTGGAGACCCTGGGACTGGAGGTGCATGTTCTGGGGGTGCTGCTGCTGGAGACATTGAGGCTGGAGACCCTGGGACTGGAGGTGCTGGTTCTGGGGGTGCTGCTGCTGGAGGCACTGAGGTTGGAGACCCTGGGCCTGGAGGTGTCGGTTCTGGGGCTGGAGCTTCTGGAGCTGCTGGAGGTGCTGGAGCTGCTGGAGGTACTGGAGCTGCTGGAGCTGCCGGTACTGGTGCAGCTGCGCCGACACGACTGTTCTTCGCTCCGCCGTCTCCGTCGTCTCTGCCGCCGCCTGACTCTGTTCTTCGTCAGGTTCTTACTCTCCCGTCGTCCACTGGTCTTCCGTTACAGCCTGGCTCACCGCTGCCTGCTCCTTCTCCTTACACTGAGCAGACAGGTAGTCTTGCTGAGCGTCGTGAGCCTGCGTCGCGTCTTGTCTCGCCTGTTGGTCCTAGTCGTACCGGTCGTCGTGTTCCTCGTCCGCGTCAGCCGGCTGTCCCCGGCACACGCCTTGTAGCCCTGCGTCGGTCCCCTACTCCGGAGCGTACTCCTCTTCCGTCTCCCCCTGCGTCCTCTTTGCCTGACGTCGCGGACCCTGAGTCTGACCGGTTTCGTGCTGAGCACCCTACTGTCACGCGTCTGCTAGCCACTGTTGTCACTGACCCGTCGTTTGAGTCTGCTGCTGCGTCCGGAGAGGTGGCCATCTAAGCCTACTGAACGTTTGTGTCACAGGCCATAGAAAGCCTGAATTTAAGCTAGGAAAGGGATCGAGCAGGCAGGAGGAATTCTCACACTCTGCCGAGCACAACACGAGGTCGCGGCACAGAAGGAAGAGGCTACTCATTCAGTGCACAGGGACGTGACCGCACCAGTGAATGCATGAATCCTCGTCGAGCGACGGGGGGTGTGTTTACGACCAATCAAGGCATGCCACCGGCCTGTTGGAGCTTGCAATGTGGCAGCTTCCACTCGAGGCTACCGTTATCGCCTCATCCTCGGTTTTGCGCACCCAACCAACAATCTACCACCGCAGCAAGCATGTACATTTTGTTCCCATCAGTTTCTGCTTTAAAAAAAATGTACATTATAAAAAGACCCGGGTGTTATGTAGCTTTTTCCCATGACAAGACCCCCCCTTTTTTTGATGTAGTTATCATAGCACCCTAGGGTGGTATGTCCGGGTGATTACGGTACAAGGGGAAAAAACTGTCGAGGGCAGGATCGATCGAGGGAGGGGACGCGCCCTTAGTGTCGCCTTCGCCAACAAGAACGCGATCAGGACCGTTAAAACAATAATTCATATGGACAAATTATGGATCTTCCGTCATCACATAACATTATCCTCCCCATTGTCAAACAATATGTTCAATATATACCCTGCGTGCTGTAGTTACTGTAGTTATTATTATTAAGAGTTGGTGGTGCACCTTCTTTGTTGCTTTGCTATATGTACCTTGTGTGCTATAGTGAAACCCCTTCTTCTTTCTCGTAACTCTCTTGGCACAACTCCCTCGACACCCCTTGGCCTAGGCTCCTAAGCCTAGGCCCTCCTAAACTCATACGTCCCTATCTTGACACCCATCCCTCTCTTTTCCCTTTCATTTTCCAAAAAAATGGGTTTGAGACGGGTTTGAACAGATAATGTTTTGTGGATAGAATTTCAGAAAACGAAAGCTTACACGGACTATTACACAAAATTATGATGTATAAGCCGTCCAGGAGCGACGCCTATGGTGAGCGCCATCATGTTACGGGGTGTGTTGGGGCAGGCAGTGTGCCGATGGCATCGACGAGGCCGAGCTGCAGAATGCGCGGAGGTGGGCGCGCAGGGCGCGGCAGCAGGCGGCCCTTCTTGGCAAACCACTGCGGCTTGAGCAGCGCGCGCAGGCCCAGCGCGTTGTAGTGCACCCGTGTCACCTTGCCCCCCGCTGCCTCCACCGCCCTGCGCACCGACTCCGACGCACGGCTCACCTGAGAAAGGGGAGGGGGCAATGGTATACAGGATAGGGTGGAGGAGGAGGAGGAGGAGGAGGAGGAGGAGGAGGAGGAGGAGGAGGAGGAGGAGGAGGAGGAGGAGGAGGAGGAGGAGGAGGAGGAGGAGGAGGAGGAGGAGGGATGGCGGGAAGACTGGTGCGCAATGGAGGCGTGATGGTGGCATGAGAAGAGGATGCAGTGGCGAGAGAGAGTGGCGAGCAGGTGGACGCAATGACAGGAGGTGGCGCTACTGAAGTTGAAAGAGACAGTGAGCATGGCAAGGGGGAACTCGGGGAGTGGGTGGGGGTGGGGGCGAGTGGAGGCTGGGCTCAGAGCAAACCTCAAGGTGCAGCGGCAGGGAGAGCAGGTGCGCCCCCCGGCCCAGCAGCTTCACTCCATCCCTCATCGCCTTGCCTCCCAGCCCCGCGTCCTGGTGGGGACGAGGGAAAGGAGGAAGAGGAGAGAGAGGCGAGAGAGGAGAGAAAGGAGAGAGAGGAGAGAGAGGAGAGAGAGGAGAGAGAGGCGAGAGAGGAGAGAGAGGAGAGAGAGGAGAGAGAGGAGAGAGAGGAGAGAGAGGAGAGAGGAGAGAGAGAGAGCGAGGAGAGAGAGAGGAGAGAGGAGAGAGAGAGAGAGAGGAGAGAGAGAGAGAGGAGAGGAGAGGAGAGAGAGGAGAGAGAGGAGAGAGAGAGAGTCATGAGTTGAGTGAGTGAGAGTGGTCAAAGGGAGTGTGATGGTTGAAGGGGCTGAACGGGCAGCATTGGAGCCACACAGGCGCGCACGACAGCAACTCCTGCTATCCATCTGTTCATGCTCTCACACATCCATTACATGAGTGCATGTGTGTGTGTGTGTGTGTGTGTGTGTGTGTATGTGTATGTGTGTGTGTGTGTGTGTGTGTGTGTGTGTGTGTGTGAGTGTGTGTGTGTGTGCGCGCGCATGTAAATGTATGTGTGAGCATGTGCATGTATGTGTGTGCATGAGCATGTGTGTGGGTGCGTGTGTGCATGCATGCAGCAGCGGAGCAGCAAGGGACACGGTGATGCCAGCACGCGCACCTTGAGGGTCTTCATGCTGATCACATGCGACGCGTCTATCGCACCCTCCTCCACCTTCCTCACCACATCTCGCACGTTCACCACCTGTGTGCACCGCACCACACCACACCACACCGCACGCCGTGCATGCAAGTTGGGGAGGGGATGGATGGTGGAGGCGAGGGAGGTTGGTTGGGGGAATGCGAGAGCACAAGGGGTTGCAGCACGGATAGCCCAGCCCAGGGGGTTGCAGCACGGATAGCCCAGCCCAGGGGGTTGCAGCACGGATAGCCCAGCCCAGGGGGTTGCAGCACGGATAGCCCAGCCCAGGGGGTTGCAGCACGGATAGCCCAGCCCAGGGGGTTGCAGCACGGATAGCCCAGCCCAGGGGGTTGCAGCACGGATAGCCCAGCCCAGGGGGTTGCAGCACGGATAGCCCAGCCCAGGGGGTTGCAGCACGGATAGCCCAGCCCAGGGGGTTGCAGCACGGATAGCCCAGCCCAGGGGGTTGCAGCACGGATAGCCCAGCCCAGGGGGTTGCAGCACGGATAGCCCAGCCCAGGGGGTTGCAGCACGGATAGCCCAGCCCAGGGGGTTGCAGCACGGATAGCCCAGCCCAGGGGGTTGCAGCAACGCAGGGAGGCGCAAAAGCGTGGCGCCACGGGGAAAGCCCTTTTGCTTGACATGCCAACAGAGAGGGAGACCGACGGCCGACGGGCGCACCTGGAAGCGGAGGGGCGCACCTGGAAGCGGAGGGGCGCACCTGGAAGCGGAGGGGCGCACGTGGAAGCGGAGGGGCGCACCTGGAAGCGGAGGGGCGCACCTGGAAGCAGAGGGGCGCACGTGGAAGCGGAGGGGCGCACGTGGAAGCGGAGGGGCGCACCTGGAAGAGGAGGGGCGCACCTGGAAGCGGAGGGGCGCACCTGGAAGCGGAGGGGCGCACCTGGAAGCGGAGGGGCGCACCTGGAAGCGGAGGGAGAAGGGGTTGTGGAAGCCGCGCTTGGGCAGGCGGATGCGCAGCGGCGTCTGCCCGCCCTCGAACCCGATCTTCGGGTTGCGTCCCGACCGCGCCTTCTGCCCCTTGTGCCCGCGCCCCGCCGTCTTCCCCTTCCCCGACCCCATCCCCCGCCCCACGCGCTTCCCCGTCCGCCGCGCACCCTCCCTGTCCGCCAGCGCGTTCAGCGCCAGTAGCCCTCCGCTTCCCCCGCCGATTGCTGCTGGCGCGGATACCGGGGAAGACGCCGTGCGGAAGGCACGGGATGCCGCCGCGGAGAGCAGAGAAGCGGGGAATGGCGCAGAGGGCAGAAGAAGCGGTGCGCGGAGAGCTAGCGAGGGGAGGGCGAGGGAGCGGGGCAGGATGGCGAGGAGAGGCGGAGAGTGCGGTGGGGGGGAACAGGCGGGGAAGCGGAGGCGGATGGCGGAAGGATCGGCGGAGGGCGGCGATGCTGCGGAAATCAAGGCGGGTCGCGGTTCGAACAGCGGCAGCTCATCCGCGAGCGCGCGAGACACGGGCGGAAGAAAGCGGGTGGGGGGAAGAACGGTGTTGGGCGCGCGGGCGGGGTGGCAGGACGAGCTGTGGTCCGAGGCGCGGCGGGCGAGAGCGCGGAGGAGAGAGCGATGCATGGTGGGACCGTCGGTGGGACCGTCGGTGGCGCGGAGGCGAGAATGCAACGAGCGACGAGCGACGAGTGATGAACGACGGGCGGCACGAAGCAAGCAGACAGAGAGACGTGCTGACACGTGGCGTTGAGGTCTGGACACGTGGAGCGGCTCGGAGCAGACTACGAAAAGGCGCAGCGTTACATGCGAGCGTGCGGGGCGCGCGACAATGTGCGACTGCTGGGCGACGGGGATATATCACAGAAGTCGCGAGTCATGTCGCATGGCTGTGCGATCTGCCTTGCGACAGCACAGGTTGGGGGAAGGTGTAGCAAAGAGGAGGGAGCCGCAAGAGGTGTGGTGGCGAAATCGCGCGCATCGGCGGAAATCGCGTTTGTCTCAATTGAATCGACCCGAATTGCTTCCCTTTCGCCACGTTGGCGTTTTTCTTAATTGGATGGACCCCCTTTCCCCCCGCCCCCCCAATCCGTTTTTCCTGCCCTTCCCCTCCGAAATTCGGTCACGATGGAATTTCAAGGAATCACAAACAGTCACAAATTCATGCTTTTTTCGTAACGCTAAAATTTAAACATGCGAGCGACATCTAATTTTTATTTGCCTTGGAGTGATTATTATGATAAATTGGTAACATTTCGCTAAAATTAGATGTCGCTCGCAGGTTGAAATTTTAGCGTTACGAAAAAAACATGTATTCGTGACTGTTTGTGACTCTACGAAATTCCAGCGGTTGCCCGAATTTCGGGGAGGAAGGGCGGGAAAAACGGGTTGGGGGGGGGGCGGGGGGAAAGGGGGTCCATCCAATTAAGAAAAACGTTCACGTGGCGCAAGGGAAGCAATTCGGGTTGATTTAATTAAGACAAACGCGATTACCGCCGATGCGCGCGATTTCGTCAGGTGTGGTGGAGGGGGGCGAAATTTGAACATTGGCGAACTCATATTGGTAACTTGTACGTTTGTCGCACAGGGTCAGTTCGCTTCGCCAAATATAAACCCGACCAAAGCCCCTTCCTCACCCACCACCACCACACACGCACCCATTGCCCCTTTTTTTCCGGACAGTCTGCTTGCACCGCTACGGCGCAAGCGCGCTGTGTGCTGTACTTAGTCGCACGCGCACCCACCCACGTGCCGCGCATCCGCCGCGGCTTCTCGTTCCCACTCGCAGCTGTCCACGCGGATTGCGGCCGTGTCCCTTCGCCCCGCCGTCTCAGCCGCTCTCAGCCTCACCGCCGCCGCCGTCGCCGCCGGCTCGTCGCGCGCTCGCTACCTGCCGTCGCCTCCTCGCCTGCGTGACGTCATGGGTGACGTGGCGACTCAGGTGGAGGAATTCGCGACGCGACTGAAGCGAAGGTGAGGTTAAGGGAAGGAGGCGGCAAGGCTGGGATGGGATCGGCTGGCCCCGCTATGTTGCCAGTGGCGCCATGCTGCTGGGAAGCCAAGGGGCGCGCGCGCGATGCTAGCATGCGCGAGATGCGTCGCTCGCCGCGTCTGCTGCCATGCCCACGCCCGCGTCACTGCCCCATCCACATCGCTGCCCCCCATCCCGCCGCCTTCCCCATTCCGCCTTCCATCCGCCCTTTGCACCGTGGATACGGCGGGTGTGACTGTAATGCGCGTGTGGGTGCCCATTGCCAGTGTGTGTGCGCCCTGTGGCTGCGTGGTGGCGTGGCAGGCAGGAGGAAGGGCGGCACAAGACAGCGCGGCGGACGGCGGAGCTGCTGCGCCTGGTGGTGTCGCAGCAGCGCATGCCCGCCGCACACCCCACCGCCGCCCTGCTCGACGCCGTGCGCTCCGTCGGCTCGCGCCTCGCCGCCGCCAACCCCTCCGGTGAGCCCCGGTAGCCATGCTGGTAGCCATGCTGGTAGCCATGCTGGTAGCCATGCTGGTGGCCATGCTGGTAGCCATGCTGGTGGCCATGCTGGTAGCCATGCTGGTGGCCATGCTGGTGGCCATGCTGGTGGCCATGCTGGTGGCCATGCTGGTGGCCGTGCTGGTGGCCGTGCTGGTGGCCGTGCTGGTGGCCGTGCTGGTGGCCGTGCTGGTGGCCATGCTGGTGGCCATGCTGGTGGCCGTGCTGGTGGCCATGCTGGTGGCCGTGCTGGTGGCCATGCTGGTGGCCATGCTGGTGGCCATGCTGGTGGCCGTGCTGGTGGCCATGCTGGTGGCCATGCTGGTGGCCGTGCTGGTGGCCATGCTGGTGGCCATGCTGGTGGCCGTGCTGGTGGCCGTGCTGGTGGCCGTGCTGGTGGCCGTGCTGGTGGCCGTGCTGGTGGCCATGCTGGTGGCCGTGCTGGTGGCCGTGCTGGTGGCCGTGCTGGTGGCCGTGCTGGTGGCCATGCTGGTGGCCGTGCTGGTGGCCATGCTGGTGGCCATGCTGGTGGCCGTGCTGGTGGCCATGCTGGTGGCCATGCTGGTGGCCGTGCTGGTGGCCGTGCTGGTGGCCGTGCTGGTGGCCGTGCTGGTGGCCATGCTGGTGGCCATGCTGGTGGCCATGCTGGTGGCCGTGCTGGTGGCCGTGCTGGTGGCCATGCTGGTGGCCGTGCTGGTGGCCGTGCTGGTGGCCGTGCTGGTGGCCGTGCTGGTGGCCGTGCTGGTGGCCGTGCTGGTGGCCGTGCTGGTGGCCGTGCTGGTGGCCGTGCTGGTGGCCGTGCTGGTGGCCGTGCTGGTGGCCTTGCTGGTGGCCGTGCTGGTGGCCATGCTGGTGGCCATGCTGGTGGCCATGCTGGTGGCCATGCTGGTGGCCATGCTGGTGGCCATGCTGGTGGCCATGCTGGTGGCCATGCTGGTGGCCATGCTGGTGGCCATGCTGGTGGCCATGCTGGTGGCCATGCTGGTGGCCATGCTGGTGGCCGTGCTGGTAGCCATGCTGGTGGCCATGCTGGTGGCCGTGCTGGTGGCCATGCTGGTGGCCATGCTGGTGGCCGTGCTGGTGGCCATGCTGGTGGCCGTGCTGGTGGCCATGCTGGTGGCCATGCTGGTAGCCATGCTGGTGGCCATGCTGGTAGCCATGCTGGTGGCCATGCTGGTAGCCATGCTGGTGGCCATGCTGGTGGCCATGCTGGTGGCCATGCTGGTGGCCGTGCTGGTGGCCGTGCTGGTGGCCGTGCTGGTGGCCGTGCTGGTGGCCGTGCTGGTGGCCGTGCTGGTGGCCATGCTGGTGGCCATGCTGGTGGCCGTGCTGGTGGCCGTGCTGGTGGCCGTGCTGGTGGCCATGCTGGTGGCCATGCTGGTGGCCGTGCTGGTGGCCATGCTGGTGGCCATGCTGGTGGCCGTGCTGGTGGCCGTGCTGGTGGCCGTGCTGGTGGCCGTGCTGGTGGCCATGCTGGTGGCCATGCTGGTGGCCGTGCTGGTGGCCATGCTGGTGGCCATGCTGGTGGCCGTGCTGGTGGCCGTGCTGGTGGCCGTGCTGGTGGCCGTGCTGGTGGCCGTGCTGGTGGCCGTGCTGGTGGCCGTGCTGGTGGCCGTGCTGGTGGCCGTGCTGGTGGCCGTGCTGGTGGCCGTGCTGGTGGCCATGCTGGTGGCCGTGCTGGTGGCCATGCTGGTGGCCATGCTGGTGGCCATGCTGGTGGCCATGCTGGTGGCCATGCTGGTGGCCATGCTGGTGGCCATGCTGGTGGCCATGCTGGTGGCCATGCTGGTGGCCATGCTGGTGGCCATGCTGGTGGCCATGCTGGTGGCCATGCTGGTAGCCGTGCTGGTGGCCATGCTGGTGGCCATGCTGGTGGCCGTGCTGGTGGCCATGCTGGTGGCCATGGTGGTGGCCATGCTGGTGGCCGTGCTGGTGGCCGTGCTGGTGGCCGTGCTGGTGGCCGTGCTGGTGGCCATGCTGGTGGCCATGCTGGTGGCCATGCTGGTGGCCATGCTGGTGGCCATGCTGGTGGCCGTGCTGGTGGCCATGCTGGTGGCCATGCTGGTGGCCATGCTGGTGGCCATGCTGGTGGCCATGCTGGTGGCCATGCTGGTGGCCATGCTGGTGGCCGTGCTGGTGGCCATGCTGGTGGCCATGCTGGTGGCCATGCTGGTGGCCATGCTGGTGGCCATGCTGGTGGCCATGCTGGTGGCCGTGCTGGTGGCCGTGCTGGTGGCCATGCTGGTGGCCGTGCTGGTGGCCGTGCTGGTGGCCGTGCTGGTGGCCGTGCTGGTGGCCGTGCTGGTGGCCGTGCTGGTGGCCGTGCTGGTGGCCGTGCTGGTGGCCGAGGTGGTTAGCTGCGGTGGTGGCCAGGGGAGGCATGTGATGTGAGGTGCAGCCAGCCGCGCAACACAGCCCTCCTCCTTGCACCCACGCGCACTGCCCTTGCTGCTCTCTCTCGAATGGTCCTCGTATTAAATAAGGGGTGATACAGAGGAAGATGCAAAACACAAGCCAAACAACCAAGGAAAAAACCGCCAACCAAACAAACAAACACTCTCTCTCTCTCTCTCTCTCTCTCTCTCTCGAACGGTCCTTCGTATTAATATCATCGCGGTACAAACAAGGTACTTCAGCAAACACATGCAGCAGAGCGACAATATCAATCCCCTATCCCGTCACCTCTACCTCCGCCTCCCCCCCCCCTTCCGGCCCTAGTGGCCGGAGGTGTCTTCTACCAACTGGTATAGCTGGTCCTCGCTCAGTGGAGTGAACGGGCCCTGCAGGCCAAGCACATCCGCGGTAAGTGCCTCGTGGGTCTTGTCCCTGAGGGCGTTGGCTTGGGCTCTCTGCAGGGTCACGCTCCAGCGCTGTCGGTACTCGGTGAGTAGTTTCGCCGCCTCCCTCGACTTCGGTGGGGCGTTGAACCGCCGCTTAGCCGCCAGCTCCGCGCAGCTGCGAAGGAAATCTAGGACTCCAGCTGAGGGGTACCCGTAGGTTTCCACGGCCATGGCGTAGAAGCCCACCCAAGGGCTCCTTCCGGCATACTTGGTCTCCTTCTTATCCGCTTGCATCCTGGCCACCCACCCGGGTGCCTTGCGAGCGTACTCATCCTGGTGGGAGACGGGGTCCGTGACTGTGATGTCACATATCCACACTGCGCCGGTGTCGGGATGGCGGATAGAGATATCCGCTTTGAGGTTTTCGACCGGTGAGTATGCCGTTGTCTCCTTGTGCACCGTGAATCCCGCTTCAGCCGCTATCTTTGCGCACTCATCCCTCAAAGCATTGTGAGTGCTGATTCTCCCCCCCCTTTTTCACACCGCATCAAGTGGTTCGGCAGGCGATGGTCGGGGAAGGTGGTGCGGTACCTGCAGTTGCAGCGTCTTGGCACAGGAAGGGGCAGTCCCAGGCGGAAGGATGCCGCGGTGGAGAACTGGGAGGGTCCGAGGCGGAGGGAAGGGATCAGGGGGATGGCCAGCAGCCAATCCCCTGCCCCCGGGCCTAAGAGGGACTGTAGCCTCTGCGTGTGGCCGAACAGTGGGTTCGGCTCCATGGTCCGTGAGCTGTCCAGCAGTCGGATGTAGCGGGCTGTGTGCACTGCGAGGGAGAGGGCTTGCTGTAGTTTCGGCCCGTTAGGCTTTTGTCTCCCTGTCTGCAAGGCGTCTACTCCCTCAGGAGGCAGTTCGGTTTCCAGGGCGGCGAGGCGTCGAGGGAGGAGGGATGTGGACTCTCCGTCCGCCTCCATCAGCCGCAGCAGGCCTGATAGGCTCGGGTTAGCCGAGTCGCCGAAGGAGCGTAGCAGGTGGGCGGCCGAGACAACCGAAGCCAGGTAGGCGAATCTCCCCTCCACTGCAGGGTTGGTGATGCCGAGGCCCCCTAGGGACGCGGGCAGGGCGGCTTGGTGCCAGATCCTGTCCCTCTCAGGCCGGTCCCTGGGGATAGTTGTATGTGCCGCAGCCAGGTAGGTGTGGAGCAGTGACTCCCCCCAAGCCGACCACTCCTCCAACGGCAGGGCTTCAGGGGGCGTGGTTCTGACCAGGAACGAGGCGCGGCGGCTCACGCAGCGGGTGAGAAGTAGCAGACAGAGTTGGGGGTCCATCTGGGCGAGGAGCTTGAGCGGTTCCGACGCTGCTGCGAGGCGCTCACGAATACGTGCTTCATAGCCGATGGGGGGGCCAATGGGGCTGCCGAGAACGCGGACTCCATCTGGTGAGATCGTGATGCCCGCAGGTAAGGTGGCGGGGTCAAGCGCAGCTGCGGACCACGCCTCACACTTTGCCGGGTTATGGGCAAGCCCGAGGAGGCGGAGGGCATCTGTGAGGTGTGTGAATGCCGCCGTGCAGCTCGCTGCCTCCCCGAGCAGAGTGATGTCATCTGCATACGCCAGAAACACCACGTCCGGGTGAGCCGCTGCTGCTTGGACGAGGCAGGGGTGGATGCTGGCTGCAAACAGCATGGGTCCCAGCGGGTCACCCTGGCGTACGCCCCGTGCGCTCTTGAGTGGCTCTGCTGCAAAGTCATGGTCGAGGTAGAGCGCTGATGGGTGGCCGTAAGAGAAGCGTACGAGAGGCACTAGGACTTCGAGTTCGGTGCCTCTCAGGCCCTCGAACACTGCTGCGCGCTCTACAGCATTGAAGGCATTGGCTAGATCTATTTGAAGCGCCGTCGCTCCTGGGAACTCCTCCAGGTAGGTGCGTGCGGTGTGTATTGCCGCTTCTATTCCTCCCGCGATTGCTACTCCAAACTGGATCGGGGTGAAGTGCTCGCGCGCCGCTGGAGCGGCGAGAAAAAGGGCCGCCTTGGCTACGAGGCGGAGTAGGCATTCGCCTACGGCTATCGGCCGCGTACCGCCCTGCGGCTTCGAGAAGGCAAGGAGACGTGACGCTGTTAGGAGGTCTGCCACGTCTGTCTTCAGTTTCCCAGCAAGCGCCGTGTTGGTAAGAGCATGCAGCTGAACGAAGACGTCACCATTCCCCAGGGCCGCGTCTCTAAGGTGCTCAAAGGTGGTGCCTGAGGGCCCCGCCCCCACTCCGTTGGGGCATTTTGCTAGCAGCCGTCTGAAGTCCCTGGCAGCGATGGAGGGGACGCTCTCTGGGGCGAAGCCGTGCACCCAAGGAGGGATGGCCGAGGTGGCTTCTGGATGTCTGCCTGTGAGTGCGCTGAGAACTTCGGCGCTCGGCGTGCAGACGGGCGTGGCAGTCAGGGTCTGCAGTGATTTCGCTAGGTCTCTCTCTCTCTCTCTCTCTCTCTCTCTCTCTCTCTCTCTCTCTCTCTCTCTCTCTCTCTCTCTCTCTCTCTCTCTCTCTCTCTCTCTCTCTCTCTCTCTCTCTCACTCTCTCTCCGCTTCACTGCAACCCACCCTTTCACTTGTGCCAGCGCGCTGCAGCACGCGGTTCATGCCCGCCACACTCACGCTCCTCTCCTCAAGTCACACACCCCCACTCCTCCTCCCCCCCTCCCTTCCCCCTTTCCCCCCCCCCACCACGTGACGCCATGACATGGTGGCAGCGGTGGTGGTGGGCAACGTGGTGCGGCGGGTGATGCACGCCATCCGCGAGGAGGACGCCGCGCTGCACCTCGCGCACGCGCACGCCCATGCGCAGGGGCAAGCACACACACACGCAGGCCACGCTGCACCAGATGTGGGCGTGCGCGGGGGAGGGGGAGGGGGAGCGGTGGGGGGCGAGCGGTGGGTCGAGGAGGGCGAGGGCGAGGGGCGGGGGGGCGGGGGGGTGTTGTCAGCGGCGTCGGTGGCGGGGAGCAACCGCAGTGTGCTGCTGGCGCCGTCGCTGCATAACCTGCTCGACCCCGCGCTGCTGCCCGCCACTCCCCCCTCCTCCTCCGCGCCCCTCCCCCCCTCCGCCCGCTCCTCCGATGGTGCCTCTGCCCCCTCACCTGCTGCTGCCGCCACTGCTGCTGCTGCTGGTGCGTTGGGGAACAGCAAAGAGTTGGGGAGGAGGGTGAGGAGAGAGGGGTGAGATGGGAAGGGGAGGAAGGGAGGAGAGGCAGGAGAGGCAGGAGAGGCAGGAGAGGCAGGAGAGGCAGGAGAGGCAGGATGGATGGAGTGCAGATGAGTGAGTGAGTGAGCACGCCCAGTGGCTTTTGGGCGTCTGCTGTGCTGTGCTGTCATGCACGGTGCGGTCTGATGGGCCTGAGACAGGACAGGCTACCTTGCCTTGCACTCCGCTGGGGGTGATGAGGCTGTCGCCAGGCTGCCTGCCTTGGAGTATGCAGCTAGGGTTAGCCATCAAGCCGACGCTTCTACCTGCCATGCTATCATGTGCTTACTGACGCCTCACTCAATGCATGCTTGCCTGCATGTGTGCAAGTGCGCATGGGTGTATGCGTGCGTGGCAGAGCGCAAGTTAAAGCACGTGGTGATAGAGCGAATCAACGATCTGTTGGAGGAGATAGACAACCACCAATCACAGCTCGCCGACCAGGCGCTGGAGCACATCCACCAGAAGTGAGAGCACATCCACCAGAAGTGAGAGCACATCCACCAGAAGTGAGAGCACATCCACCAGAAGTGACTTCCTTTCCTTCCTCTTCTCCCCTCCCCAACCCACCTACCTCCCTCCCTTACATATCTCCCTTCCCCACCTTCCGGGCCTCACGCTCTTCGTCCTTGCACCATGCCTATGCCCTCTCGTCCTTGCACCATGCCTCTGCCCTCTCGTCCTTGCACCATGCCTCTGCCCTCTCTCCATACTCCGCCACACTCCCATATCTCACGCCTCTGCCTGCTTCTCACGAATCCATCCGTGCTGCTCCTTGTGTGTCTGTCCCCCAACTTGCCCCACCTATTGCTGCCAACAATGCTCCTCTTCCCCCCTCTCCGTCCCCACCTATTTCGTCTCCCTCTTTGTCGGTGCTCCCCCCACTTCCTGCCATGTCCCCCTCTCCGTCCGTCCTTGCATATCGCACGTCCTGCCATGTCCCCCTCTCCGTCCGTGCATACCTTCTCGCCACGCCTGCTCTCTCACACCTCTCCCCACCGTCACACCTCTCCCCACCGTCACACCTCTCCCCACCGTCACACGGCATGGCACGCTATGGCGGGCAGCGAGGTGATTCTAACTATGGGCTTCAGCGACACGCTGCTGCTCTTCCTGCTGGAAGCCAAGAAGCGCCGCTCCTTCCACGTGAGTGCCAAGAAACAAACCATTCACTCACACCAACGCTTGCACATCGCTGCCACGTGAAGACATGGCTCCTAACGGGGGCTCCATTGATGCAGCTTTGGGGCTTATTCACCACAGCAGTGGGGCCAGTACAAGCACCCATGTGCCGCAACGTGCTGCAGCAGGCATGGGGCACCGCAGAATGTGCCCACCCGCCAGGCCACACCCCAATGGGGCGGCCCTAGAAGCGCGTCATGGCGTGATGGCCAGGGCCATGCGTTTCCCACGCCGCCCTCCCTCCACCACCTCTCCACCACAGGGCGCTCCCTGCTATGTGCACCGCACACTCCGCCACCCATGCCGTCCCTCTTCGCCTCCACCCGGCCTCCCCTCCTTGCCCTCACCTTCGCATCTGCTGGTGCTTGAAAAAACTCAACCTCATGCCACATCGCGCCCTGCCAGTGCTGATGGCGCCACTGCTACAGTACAGCATCCCCATCGCCCTCGCGCCGCCTCCCTTCCCTGCCTACCCTCCCTGCCCTCCTCTCCCCGCACGCCCCCATGGCAGGTGGTGGTGGCGGAGGGCGCCCCGTGCTACGGAGGGCACAAGCTGGCGGCGGCGCTGGCAGGGCGGGGGGTGGCGGTGACGGTGATAGCGGACGCGGGGGTGTTCGCCCTCATGGCGCGCGTCAACCTCGTGCTGCTCGCCGCCCACGCCGTCATGGCCAATGGCGGCGTGCTCGCGCCCATTGGTGAGCGCTCGCGCCCATTGGTGAGTGCTCGCGCCCATTGGTGAGCGCTCGCGCCCATTGGTGAGTGCTCGCGCCCATTGGTGAGTGCTCGCGCCCATTGGTGAGCGCTCGCGCCCATTGGTGAGCGCTCGCGCCCATTGGTGAGCGGATGAATGACGAGAGCAGAGACGACCGCGTGGCAGAATTGTGGGAAGGGAGAGGGAGAGGAGAGAGGTGCTGCAGCCTTGACTGGTGCGTGAAAGTGGACTGTCTGTCGTGGTTGCATGAGAGGTCACATCTCTCTTCCTTACTGCTCCCTTCTCCTCCCTGCCTCACTACCCCCCTGCTCTCACCACCCCCTACCCCTCTCAGGGCTGGACATGGTGGCACTGGCAGCGCGCCGCCATGCTGTGCCATTCGTGGTGCTCGCCGGCATCTTCACTGTCAGTGCCGCCCTCCCCTCCACCTCCCCTCCACCTCCCCTCCACCTCCCCTCCACCTCCCCTCCACCTCCCCTCCACCTCCCCTCCATCTCCCCTCCACCTCCCCTCCACCTCCCATCCACCTCCTCTCCACCTCCCCTCCACCTCCCCTCCACCTCCCCTACACCTCCCCTCCACCTGCCCACTTGCTTTCCTGCTCTCATTTTCTGCGCCAATGACGTCACACCATGACACACCTCAATCTACTTGTACCGTACTGCACCTGCACCAACGCTCCTTGGTCTGGATTCTCACGCTCCTGTCCTTGCCTGCCGGCCGCTCTCCCTGCACCCACCGTGCCCCCCCCCACCAGGTGTGTCCGCTGTACCCACAGCAGGCGGGGCTGCCGGGGCTCAACGACCTGCGCTCGCCAGCGGGCGTGGTGGGGCTGGCGGAGCTCGCGCACTGGGAGGGGCTGGCGCACCTGGGGGCTGCGCTCACCGCACAGGGGCAGGGGAGCGGCAAGGCGGGCGCAGAGGGGGGTGAGGAGGCGGAGGGGCAGTGGGGGGAGGCGGGGGTGGGGGTGGAGGTGGAGGTGGTGAACCCGGCGTTTGACTACATCCCCCCGGAGCTCGTCACTCTGCTCGTCACCGATACGTCAGTCGTTCCCCCTTCATGCCATCTCACTCCCCTGCATGCCATCTCACTCCCCTGCATGCCCTCTCACTCCCCTGCATGCCATCTCACTCCCCTGCATGCCCTCTCACTCCCCTGCATGCCCTCTCACTCCCCTGCATGCCCTCTCACTCCCCTGCATGCCCTCTCACTCCCCTGCATGCCCTCTCACTCCCCTGCATGCCCTCTCACTCCCCTGCATGCCCTCTCACTCCCCTGCATGCCCTCTCACTCCCCTGCATGCTCTCTCACTCCCCTGCATGCCCTCTCACTCCCCTGCATGCCCTCTCACTCCCCTGCATGCCCTCTCACTCCCCTGCATGCCCTCTCACTCCCCTCCATGCCCTCTCTATCTCCTACATGCCATATCTTCACATGTGCATTCCCTACCTTCTTCCACACTGTCTTTCCTCCCACATGTCCGCATGGCAGGGGCGGGCACAACCCCTCCTACATCTACCGCCTTGTGGCCGAGTACTACAGCCCGCACGACCACAACCTCTAGCCATCGTCCCATAGAGTAATTCCTTTAGGGCGCGTGTGGTCGAACCAATGTCGCCGAAATGCTTTGGCGAAGGCATGAAGATTTTGGGGGCACAGAAGCGCGAATGTCAAATGTGAACTCAACTCTAATCGCACGGGTGAACGTGCGCGTGCACGTTGAAGCGAGTGTATGTTGTTTTCAGCACGTACGAAGACCATGCGGACATCGCGAATTCTTCGTGAAGGTCGCGGAGATCTGTTGCGCAGTTTTTTTACGTGCCGCGCTGTACCGGGTAACCTACACCCCTACGGGCGGCTCGCCGCCAGTCCCTAAAATGTCGAATGTCTGTGTTCGACCTTGGGTGTGTGATTGCAAGTTAAGAGTGTTGTTTCCCCAATGTTCGAACTTTGCTGCAAAAAGGTCGAGTTTCGTTCGGGATAAGTTCAAATGCTATATTGGACTTAAAGCTCAAGGCCCAAATTGCGGGCCGCGCAGGGCAAGATTGGTAAACTTGCGCACTTCTTGCAAAACATTGTATTGTGTAGGCTGTAGTGGGGTAGCCTATAAGGGGTACAACCCAATTTAGGGTTAGCACTTGTACCGAACCCTGTCATAGTTCATCATTCCTGCCTGTTCATTCTGACATGGTATCAGAGCAGGTCCTGTCCCAGGACCGTTCTCGTTAGGGCCCACCGATCGAACCCTGCCCGTCAACCTGCCCCACCACACACACATGCCCTGCACTGCCCTGCGTTGCGCCGCCCCACGCACGCCCTGCCCTGCCTTGCGTTGCGTCGCGCTGCCCGCGCACGCCCTGCCCTACCCTACGCTGCGCCGCCCTGCGCACGCCCTGCCCTACCCTGCGCTGCGCAGCCCCATGCACGCCCTGCCCTGCGTCGCGCGCCCCGCGCACACCTTGCCCTGCCCTATGTCGCACGCCCCGCACATGCCCCTGCTGCCCGTCGCGTTGCGCGCCCCTGCTGCCCGTCGCGCCGCGTGCGCTTGCTGCCCGTCGCGTCGCCCATGCGGACTGCCCCAGCCCGCCGCGTCACCTGTACGCCCTGCCCTGGCCCGTCGCGTCGCCCGTACGGGCTGTCCCAGCCCGTCGCGTCGCCCGTCCGCCCTGCCCCTGACCGTCGCGTCGCCCATGCGGGCTGCCTCAGCCCGTCGCGTCGCCCGTCCGCCCTGCCCCTGCCCGTCGCGCTCGCCCCTGCAGCCCGCGCTCGCCCCTGCAGCCCGCGCTCGCCCCTGCAGCCGCGCTCGCCCCTGCAGCCCGCGCTCGCCCCTGCAGCCCGCGCTCGCCCCTGCAGCCGCGCTCGCCCCTGCAGCCCGCGCTAGCCCCTGCCGTCACGCCGCCCTCCGCAACCCGCGCTTAGCACTGCTGATCGACCGCCGCCCTCCTTGGTCGTGCACCGCCCGTCTGTGGCCGTACGTCGTCCTGCCTTACCCTACACGCTACTCTAGTGCCTGCTCGCCGCCCTGCCTTCTCTGAGTGCTGCCCTGCTGGTCGCACGCCTCCTCGGTTTGCCCGCTATGACTTCTCTTCATGGTAGCGGTGGGATTGATGGCGGTGGTGGTGACAGCAGTGGGAGTGTTGGCGGCGGCGGTCGTAGCAGTCGCGGTGGAGCTGTTCAGTGGGGAGTTTCTGGCGGTGGTTAGATGCAGCCGCAGCGGCGTCCGCGCGAGACCCTTACGTCTCAGCAGCTTCGTGAGTGGTTAGCTCAGTGTGACCCTGGGTGTACTGCTCGCTGCCCGTACGTCATTCGCACAGGTGATCGGGCTGGTCAGACCTGCGGGACACATGGCCACACACAGTCCCGCTGCTTCGCCTATCTGAGCGACGCCTGGCGCGCAGAGTTTGGCGTCGCGGCTGAGCTCCCCCACTGGTTAGAGCTGCGTCGGCGCGGTGTGGATATATTTGCTCTAGACATGACGCTATCCTTACGGCCATGTACGCTTTGCCTGCTGGTACTGAGGGTGACTGCTACCTGTGTGTGCCGCGGCTGCTGCTCTAGGTGCTACCGAGTCTGCTCTCTCTGGTATAGAGGCTGCTGCTCTAGGTGCTAGTGAGTCTGCTCTCTCTGGTACTGCGCCTGCTGAGGCCTTGCACACCTTCACGCTTGACTCAGGTGTTTCGCGCTGTTTCTTTCGCGACAATACCACAGTCACACCACTCCCTGCACCTGTTGCAGTCTCTCTGGCTGACCCCTCCGGGGGCCCAGTTCTTGCACGTTCCTCCACTGTTCTCCCGTGTCCGGCGGTTCCGTCTGGCTCACTGACAGGTCTTCACCTCCCCTCGTTCTCTACGAACTTGGTGAGTACCGCCGTCCTTCAGGATGCTGGGGTTGATACCTTTACCCCTGGAGGACAGCGTGTGGCGATCTGCACGTGTGCACGGACGGGCCGTCACCTGGCCACGTTCACCCGTCGGCCTGGGTCGAGCCTGTACACACTGACTACTGAGCCTCCTCAGGTCGCTGCGTCTGGTCAGGTGTCTGCGTCAGGTCAGCTGTCAGCCCCTTGTTCGTGTCGCCTCCTTTCGCACCGTACTCTCCTCTGGCACCACCGCCTTGGTCACCCCTCCCTGCAACGCCTCCGTGGAATGCACTCCCGCCTGCTCCCCTGCAGACTCTCCACAAGGACGTGTGGGGCCCAGCCCGCGTCAGTGGACAGGGCCGCGAGCGGTACTTTCTGCTGGTTGTTAACGACTACTCGCGTTACACCACGGTCTTCCCCTTGCGCAGCAAGGGGGAGGTCCCTGCTGTTTTGATCCCTTGGACCTGCACTGTTCGTCTCCAGCTCCGCGAGCGGTTCCGCACGGACTTTCCTGTCTTGCGTCTGCACTCTGACAGAGGTGGTGAGTTCTCCTCCGACCTCTGGCAGGACTTTTGTCAAGGGGAGGGCATCCTCCAGTCGTTCACGATGCCGGCCTCACCGCAGCAGAATGGGGTTGCTGAGCGCCGCATTGGCTTGGTCATGGAGGTCGCTCGTACCTCCATGATCCATGCGGCTGCTCCCCATTTTCTGTGGCCGTTTGCGGTCCGGTACGCTGCGCATCAGCTCAACCTCTGGCCCCGTGTCTCCTTGCCGGAGACCTCGCCCACACTGCGTTGGACGGGGGAGGTTGGCGATGCGTCGCGGTTCCGGGTCTGGGGCTCCCGTGCCTTTGTCCGCGATACCACCACGGACAAGCTCTCCTCTCGCGCCATTCCCTGCGTCTTCCTTGGCTTTCCCCCTGACGCGCCTGGCTGGCAGTTTTACCACCCCACCTCGCGCCGTGTCTTCGCGTCCCAGGACGTCACCTTTGACTTGTTGGTTCCCTTCTACCGTCTCTTCCCCTACTTCACTGCCCCTCTTCCCCCCCCGCCGCTCTTCCTCGCTCCAGGTCCCCCTCCGGTAGACCCCCTCCCCCCTCAGGGTCCTGCTCCTTCAGGTGTGTCTCAGGTAGACCCACTTCCCTTAGCTGAGCCTGTCGAGGTCACTGGTGACTCAGGTGCTGCTGGGGGTGGTCCTGCTCGGGGTGCTGCGTCTGGAGGTGCTGAGCCTGAGCGTGCGGAGCCTGGGGGTGCTGAGCTTGAGCATGCAGAGCCTAGGGGTGCTGAGCCTGAGCGTGCGGAGCCTGGGGGTGCGGAGCCTGGGGGTGCGGAGCCTGGGGGTGCTGAGCCTGAGTGTGTGGAGCCTGGGGGTGCTGAGTCTAAAGGTGCTGGAACTAGGGGTGCTGCGTCTTCACTACGGGAGCCTCTCTCACCACAGCAGCTGCGTGAGTGGCTTGCTCGACGCTCCCGCCTTCGGAGTGGTGCTGCTGGAGCTGGAGGCGCCGGAGCTGGAGGCTCTGGCGGTGGCGCTGCTGGTCCTGGAGGTGCTCGTACTGGAGGTACTGGAGCTGCCGGGGCTGGTGGTGCTGTTGGTCCTGGAGGTGCTGGAGGTCCTGCTGGAGCTTGAGGTAGTGGGGGTACTGGAGCTACTAGTCCTGGAGGTCCTACAGGTGCCTCGCCACCGCAGTCTAGTCGGCGAGAGCCTCTCTCACCACAACAGCTACGTGAGTGGCTTTCTTGACGCTCCCGCCTTCGGAGTGGCGCTGCTGGAGCTGGGGGCGCCGGGGTTGGAGGCTCTGGAGCTGGAGCTGCTGGTTCTGGAGGTGCTGGTGGTGATGGCACTGCTGGTCCAGGAGGTGCTCGTCCTGGGGGTGCTAGAGCTGGAGGTCCTGGAGCTGCTAGTCCTGGAGATGCTGGAGGTCCTGCTGGATCTGGAGGTACTAGGGGTGTTGGAGCTGCTGGTCCTGGAGGTGCTCGTACTGGAGGTACTGGAGCTGCTGGGGCTGGTGGTTCTGCTGGTACTGGAGCTGCAGGAGCTGGTGGTGTTGCGGGCTCGGGAGCTGGTGGTGTGGCGCTGGAGGCACTGGAGTTGGAGGCGTTGGAGCTGAAGGCACTGGTGCTGGAGGTGCTGGAGCTGGAGGTGCTGGAGCTGGAGACACTGGCGCTGGAGACACTGGAGCCGGAGGCACTGGAGCTGGAGGCGTTGGATCTGGAGGTACTGGAGCCCGAGGCAGTGGAGCTGGAGGCACTATAGTTGGAGGCGCTGGAGCTGGAGGTACTGGAGCCGGAGGCACTGGAGCTGGAGGCGCTGGCGCTAGAGGCGCTGGAGCTGTAGGTACTAGAGGTGGAGGTTCTGTGCAGCAGCGACCGTTTTTCGAGCCGCCACCGCAGCTGTCGGTGCTCCGCCAGGTTCTTAGTCTTCCTTCGTCCACTGCCCTTCCTCCTGGCTCGCCGCTGCCTGCCCCGTCTCGTTACACTGAGCAGCCGGTCTCCCTTACAGAGCGACGTGAGCCTGCGTCTCGTTCTGTCTCCCCTGTTCGCGCTGGTCGCACCGCTCGTCGTGTCCCGCGTCCGCGTCCTCCTCCTGTGCCAGGCACTCACACTATGGAACTTCGTCCTTCCTCTACTCCACAGCGTGTCCTTCTGCCGTCTCCTCCTGCGTCCTCTCTTCCTGAGATTCCTGACTCTGAATCTGACCGTGTTCGT